GGCGCCGTCCCTCCGCGTGGATGTATCTACCGCATGAGCGAAGAGGAACTCGAGGTGCTTCGCGCACAACTCGATGACCTTCTCGACAAGGGCTGGATTCGCCCTAGTTGCTCGCCATACGGTGCAGCTGTTCTCTACGTCCGGAAGAAGAACAAAGATCTACGGTTATGCATCGACTATCGCAAACTTAACGCACAAAACCGTAAAGAACGCCGGCCCTCTCCCTCGGATTGATGATCTCCTTGAGCGGTTAGGCGGCGCGATGTACTTCTCGAAGTTGGACTTGAAGTCAGGCTACCACCAGATTGAAATCCAACCTCAAGATCGGTACAAGACCGCGTTCAAGACGAGGTACGGGCATTTTGAGTGGGTTGTCATGCCCTTTGGCCTCACCAATGCCCCCGCGACTTTCCAAGCAGCAATGACGACTGAGTTTCACGACTTGCTCGATCGCAGCGTCCTCATTTACCTTGATGACATCTTGGTTTACAGTAGGACGTTGGACGAGCACATCGTACACCTTCGCGTTGTTCTGGATCGTTTGCGACTAGCCAAGTACAGAGCGAATCTCGACAAGTGCGAATTTGCCAAGCAAGAGCTTGAGTACTTGGGCCATTTTGTCACGCCGAAAAGCATTCGTCCCTTAGCGGACAAGATCCAAGCCATCGTGGATTGGCCGGAACCCCGTTGCATGACGGATGTACGCTCTTTCATGGGWTTGGCTGGATATTATCAGCGATTCGTCGAGTCATACTCGAAAGTGGCTGCTCCTTTGTCGAGACTTCAGTCCCCGAAGGTGCCCTTCGAGTTCGACGACGCAGCCCGTGGCGCGTTCACTACGTTGAAGGCAGCGATGCAAGCCGCACCTGCCCTCCGTTTATATGATCCCACCCTACCCACCCAAGTGACTACGGACGCTTCGGGATACGGGATTGGTGCGGTGTTGGAACAGTGTCACGAGGACGGTTGGCATCCGGTCGAGTATTTCTCCCAAAAGGTGCCTCTCGTAAACACTCTCGACGACGCTAGGAAGAAAGAGCTACTCGCGTTCGTCACCGTTCTCAAACGGTGGCGCCGCTTTCTTCTCGACCGTCGGCGTTTTAAATGGAATACGGACAACAATCCGTTGACCTTTTACAAAACGTAGGATACGGTCACTAGTGCGATCGGTCAATGGATGTATTACATCGACCAGTTCGACTTTGACCCGTGCCACATTCCCGGTCCCACCAGTCGAGCTGCGGACGCCCTCTCACGACGGCCCGACTTTTGTGCCATTGTGACCACGGCATTCGACCTTGATGCCGATCTGTAGCCGCATTTCGTCAAAGGCTACAAGTCCGATCCGACTTACTCTACGCTTTACGCGGAGCTTTCATCGGATCACCCGCCGGCTAGCCAATATCGGATTTCCGACGGGTTCCTTCTCCTTCACACGAGAGGAAAGGACTTGCTAGTTGTGCCCCAAGATCGCATCTTACGGACTCGTCTTCTCGGCGAATTCCACGACGCACGACTTTCGGCACACCTTGGCGTGAACTGCACATTAGCACGCCTCCGCCAGCGTTTTCACTGGCCCGACGTCCTTCATGACGTCACGAGGTACATTGAGTCATGTGCAGTTTGCCACCGTAACAAGGGTCGATCTCGAGTCCCCTTCGGCGAACTGAAACCGTTGCCGATCCCTCGAGCACCACGCCTCTCCATTGCTATGGACGTGACAGGCCCGTTTCCCCGCGATCGCCACGACCATGACGGTATTCTCACGGTCGTTGACCGTTTGAGCAAGTATGCTCGCTTCCTTCCTTGCAAGTATCATGCTGCAGCGCCTGAGCTCGCACGACTCTTGCACACCGGTTGGATTACCAACCAAGGTGTTCCGGAAGACATAGTGAGCGACCGAGATACTCGTTTCATGTCAGCCTTCTGGACTTCCCTCATAGCTGAGTCCGGTACGACAATGAARCCRAGCTCGGCTCGGCAACCGCAGACGGATGGTCAGACGGAGCGAGCGCACCAGACCGCTCAGATGATGTTGCGTACGCTCATCCGTCCCGACCAGAAAGATTGGGTTGACCGGCTTCCCGACATCGAGTTCGCCTATAACACTTCGGTGCACCCGGYGATCTGCGTCACAYCATTCGAGYTACATCATGGTGGAGAGAAAGCACGGATCTTCGCTGATCTCCTTTTGCCACAGGCTGCCGACATAGACATCCCTTGCTCTCCCGCTTCCGTTCGGAAGTACCGGGACTTGCTGATCAAAGCCCGTGCAAATATGCAAAAGGCTCARATCCGCATGCAGCARYAGGCTAAYCGACGTCGACTTCCATGTCCTTTACGTGAGGGAGACCTTGTTTGGGTCCTCTCCGAGRAATTTGCRCTCGAGCAGGACGTTTCGYGCAAACTCCTTCCGAAATGGTTCGAACCATGGGAAGTCACTTCTGCCGTTGGAGACGACCCCGCAGGTCCTTCCTTCGTGATCAACATTCCACCGCACCTGACAGTGCATCGGGTCTTCCACGCATCGAAGCTGGCCATCTACACGCCACCTTCAGCTGACGAGTTTCCCGGACGTCGATCACAGGATCCGCCTTCTATGGACGGCCATCAGGAAGTTGACCGAGTCATCACGCACCGCAAGTATGGCAACAAGTCAATGCAGTACAAAGTCACATTCAAGCAATGTGCGCCTGACGACACTCGGTGGATCTCTAGTGCAGACTTGCAGACTTCTGCACCCCTTATCTTCGCCAACTATGAGAAGACACGACTTGCTAAGGAAGCAGCTCGTCCCGCCCGACCCACCCCGATATCGGACAGACAACTTCGCCCTCGCAGGTAGCTCGGTCTTTTAAGAGGGGGAGTGTGTTACATCTTCGACGCCACACGGGTCCTACCGGACCCGACTTAGGGTTAGAGGGACACGTTAGGGCCTAAAGGCCCGACCTTGGGGTATTACACGCCGTAAAGGCCTTACTTTGGACCAGACCCGACGGGCAGGCCCAAACGACATTACCGTTTGGGCCTGGCGGCGCTCTTGAGGGTGCCGCCCGCCGGTTGGGGCTGAATCGTCCATCTTGACGGTTCAGGGCACGACCAAGCCTCGCAGCATTGAGGCCGGCCTCTGCCCCACCGGTACAAAAGTACCGGTCCAGCCTCATTGAGGCTATCGACCTACCGGCATTCTACCGGTACGGTATGGTACAGCGCGATACAGCGCTGACGCTAAGTTTAGCGCATGAGCAGCGAGGAGCAGCAGCTCAGCATTAGCGCAGCAGCAGCGGCGACTGAGTGTACCGGCGGCCATTCCCGCCTGAGGTATCGGGAGTTGGAGGCCTCTCTCCTCCCTCCCCTCGCCAGTCCCCTCTCTCTCTCTCTCTTCTCCTCGGCTCCCATCTTCTTCTTCTTCTTCTTCTTCTTCTTCTTCTTCTTCTTCTTCTTCAGATTGGAGACTTATACAAGTTGGACAGAGATCAGTGTTGGACTTCGGTGGTATGAGACTGTGGTACTTACCGGATTGGAGACTTGGAGATTGTTGGGGTTGATACTTGGCGGCATCACAGTTCGGACACCGGTTACATTTGGACTCTGTATCTCCGACATTGGTGACTGATTGTCCTCGACATTTTGATCTTGTTGGATGACATTTTGGACTACCATATCGGTGACCTATCGGATTCTATCTCCGTGACCTATCGGTGCTGTCTACCTCCCCCACCTCCTTCGTCTCTCCTCCCACCTTTCATCTGTGTATGTGTGTACGGGATCTGGGCATCGTCCATGCTTGGCCCAGACCCCACCATCTCACGATTGTATGTGTGTGGAGTGATTCTATATGAGTCAGTCTATGTGAGTCAGTCTATGTGAGTCAGTCTGTTTATCAGACTTCCGCTGCATATATGCTCATCCTACATTGGTTGATCTTTGGTTCTGCCCATACTCATTGAAGTATGTAACAGGATGCCACTCACTGGAAACCAATCTAGCAGCAATACATCAGAGCATCCCTGCTCAATGGACAACTCTCCTAAGAGAAAGATTCACTTGGAAACCAGGCGAATGGGGCCTACTTATCTCTCAGACTCCGCCCATGAGGGCCTGTCGTTTCACCTCTAGATCAGATTCCTCCAGCTACCAATCCACCTTGTTATCTTACCCCATCTCCAAACAGTCTTCAGGAACTGGAAATCCAGAATGAGGTCCCTCAAGCAGAGCGGCTAGAAAACTTCCTTCTCAGAAAGGTCGAAGTCGCCTGGAACAGACTATGGGTCATATTTCATCCAGAACTCAGCATCGAGGACCTGGAATTCGACCCTAAGGAATGGATGTGGAAACAAGGTTCCAAAAGAAAATCAAGAACGATTTCCGAATACGACGTGAAATTCGGCTATGACCTCCGGTTGCAGACTACAGACCCGAACCCCAGGCTAATAGAGAAATGGCAAAACATCCTGAATCTAGTCCCCTCGACCCCGTTCACCATTCCCTAGACCAAATACCTTCTTATCAGGCCTGTGAGGTGTGGGTATCCCTCTTCCACCGGGGATTGGATCATCGTCTTGTCAGGTATCAGCACGATGAGAAGAGAAGGTGGCAGAAGGCGGACTCGTTCAGAATTAGGGTAGTGGGGGAACAAGAGGAATGGGTCGCCTTCCTCCCGGAGATCCCGCTTGCCAAGCTCCCCATCGACCCGCTGGAATGGCAATGGTGCCCGACCGGCAAGATCAGATATCGGAAAATCAAGAAATTGTTCGATTTGTTCGTGAAGGGCACATACCGCCTTCTCAGGCCTCGGGTTGACCTTAGGAGCACCATGCGGGAGCGCTGGATGTCCCATCTGAATGTGGGAAGGAATTGTCTCCGCCCCATCCGATGGTTCACTCCCACAACTGCCAGACCAGCAAAGATGGCCTCCCTGCAATGGCAGACCCCACAAACGATTGGCTAATTGACCGAACATACTTGGAACAAAAGGGGTTAGCCACACCATGGTGCATGGCTTGTCTGACAGTCTTTCCTGCCCGCAAGATCCTTGAGACCATAGAGCATATTTTCCTACAATGTCCAGGGGCGGTCCTTACTTGGCGCCAGTGGGATAGGATTTGGAGGTCACAAGGTATAGAATCTGAATGGCCATGGGACTGGAGAGTGCTTCTGTGTGAAACATGGCTCCCCCCTACACACAACATTTTTGAAGAGCATATGTTTAAGATCGGGAGGAGGGCCGTTATTTGGGCTTTTTGGCGGAAACGATGTATACTATGCATTGAAAAAGTCAGATTAGAGGATGGGGAAATGACTGAGCTAATCCAACAATATGTCCAGGATGAGCTTACAATACAATGGCAGACAGTAAGAGCTAAACTGGATAGAACTCATACTAAAAAGGACAACACAGGCTATTGAGCAATTCTCAAGGGATTGGTTGGGAAGTGACCGAGGGGGTAGAGTCGCGCATGTTCATTGGGAAGGAGGCAGTCTCCCAGGTTGTGGAAAGGAGGAGGATAATGTGCGACGAGACTACAACATCTGTTTTCATGACTGGACCAAGGTGGATGCAGCAATACCGCTGCGCTCCCCCTTGGACTTCCCTGACCCCTTCCCGCCTCATGGTCTATCAATGGTGGATCTCCAGTGGTATGGACTGCAATGAGGGAGTGATAGGCACAGTGAGGACTGCAACTGCAGAGAGAAGGAGGCTGGATGGGCACATGGCTTTGAGGCTTCAAGAAGAATCGCCAGCCGCTATGGTATGGAACAGAGGGAGTGATAGTCGGGGTTGAGATGGATAAGGCTCTCTCACTAGCAACCTGCACAGTCAATCCTCTGGAGGACAGAGCAATCAATGCTGGCAGGTGTTTTTTTCTCAGTTGTGCTTCCTGATACTTTCCTGATTTGTGCTGTGTAAGGGACGCTGGACCCGCTTTCCAGCAGGTGATGCTCCCCACCAATAGATGGAGCCTCTCCCCGGGTGCTAGTGGTGCCAGTTCTCACCAGCAGCACTAGCACCGCAGGGGGCGTTTAAAAAAAAAAAAAAAAAGAATCCGCAGCATGCAATGGCTCCTAGCACACGCAGCCCTCCCGATCAGCCCATGGCTCCACAAAAGAAGGAAACACTCAGACCCAGACAACTCAGAACACTGCGTTTTGTGCAACAACAACACACCAGAAGATATCCCCCACTGCCTCCTCTACTGCCCTAAAGCGAACTGGATCTGGAACAAGGTTCTGGACCTATGGTCTATCCTCTCTTCAGCACCACCCCCAAACACCTCCCCTCTAACTATTATACTCCTCTCTAACACTCCCAGGAACCTCAAACGCAGCAAGGAAGTCTGGTTCAGTCTACTCAGAAAACTGGCTCTCTGGGTCATATGGAAACGCAGATGCACATGAACAATTGAAGGAGCACAGGTGATAAGGGAGGAAATGTCGACTCTTCTGATAAGCATGGTGGAGACCGAAATTCGAGGCAGGTGGCGAAAGATATCCTCATCCATGATGCACAGACCAGAAAAGCACACAGTCAAAGGACGAGAATTCCTGAGGAACTGGTTTTTAAAGGGCAAGATCGCCACTATAACGGGCAACAGGCTGATATGGAAAAAGTGGCATCAGGCGTAGCCGCAAGGCGACAGAACGCCACACAGTCCATGAAGGAGCAATAGATGGTGCAACGAGCACAAGAACAAGCAGGGTGACGAGTAGGGTACAATCAAGGGTTTGAAAGTGGCCAAGGAAGAAATTGAAAAGCCTTCCACGATTCAGGCCCCAAATTCGGGTCACAGGGTCAGAGGCCCTGGCCGAGAAAGGCCAAATTAGTATAATTTAGAAAAGTCACAGTGGGGTACCTTAGAAAGTCCAGTCCAACAGGCACCCAGCAAACAGTCACATCTCAGGGGCAAAAGTCACGTCTCATAATGAAAAGTCATATTGAAGAGTCGCATCCCACGAGTGAAAGGGAAGTCCCATGGGCAAGAGTCGTGTCTCAGAGGCAGGAGTCACAATCCACAGTCAAAATCAAATGCTAAAATCGAAAAGTCATGACTCAAAGGCCCAAGCAGCAGCAGACCTATGGAAATTCGCGAAGGTTCCAGGCCTTGACATTCAGAAGCAGACAGGCCGTGGGGATGTGGTACCGGAACCAATCAGGCCCCAAGAAGCGGAGGCTGGCAAAAAGTTGAGGTGCAAACCAAGACTACAAAAGGACTGGCCAGCCTCCCATTCGGGCAGATTGCTTATTCGCATGAAGTGTGGAAGTGCTGGTGCACTTGTGCGCTATTGTGAGGGGCAGAGCGCTGAAGCCAGAGTGCTGTGCTAAGAGAGAGGGAGAGAGAGGGAGAGAGAGGAAGAGATTGCGCTGGCAGGGAGAGGGCAGCCATAGCTGCGCCAGTGCAGAGTGTTAGTAGTAGACTTTAGAGGGTTAGTAGGCATATCAGTGGGTGTATTCAGAGTAGATCCTTGAGTAGAAGTTAGTGCGTGTGCACACATGTAGGGAGAGAAGACACAGCGAGGACATAGCTAGGGAGAAGACCAGCAAGGAGGAGAGATACATAAGAGAGGAGCAGTGGGAAAGAGATACTTACCTGAGAGCTTACGCTGGTCACTGGTTACCTTTGGCATGCGCTGATGAGCGCTGGTGACTTGAACTCTTATTGCTCGTGTAATAACTTGTTGGAATTCATAAGCTGCGCTACTTGGTCTTAATCTCTCTGGTCTCCAGTGTGAATGTGATCTCATACATGCATGTGTTGTGAATATGTGCGCTCATTGGTGTTGAATTAAGAGGTTCATTGCAAAATGTAGATTCTGCTGCTGAGGAGGGTGTAAACGGAGATCCGATGCAAATGGAGGAGAGTGTCGGCAGTAACGAGAGGCAAACATGAAAGACTCACACTCAGGAGACAAATCTTCATGAGAGAATGGCTGCTACAGGGAAAGATCGCGGCAGTCACACACAATA